TGGTTGGGCCACATGTGATCAAACTCATGTAAAGCCATCCTTAAGCTCGGCATGAAGCTGAGGCAAGGAGAGGAAGAGCACGGAGGGGGCGGGGGCCGAGAATAACTCCAATAAGAGATGACAGGGAATTCAAATAAAGAGGCAAAAGGCGAGAGGCTGAAGAAACAGTGTGGAGGAGAGAGGGAGGGGATTACTGGATGGTGGAGAGAGGAAGTTGCGGATGTCAGACAAGGAAATCAGGATATAGGAGAGCATGAAGGAAGCCAAATAGTGAGGCGAGAAGAAAGAAACTAGGGGTGGGATGGGGGGGGGGCTCGAATTTTTCAATTACAGCACTCGCAGACAACAAAGACCCAGATTTCAAGAGACTATAACAGTCTGCTGCCCAGAGGGAGAAGCTCATTTATCCTCCTTCATTTCTTCTATCTTTTCTCTACACAATTTACAAGTTGGAATATTTAAAGGGTTCCTTTTGTTGCACAAGCAAATGCAAGCTTTCCTCTCATTACAGCTGTTCTGACTGCCAGTACTCCATACTGTGGGGAGGCAAATCTTGTTCATCTATAAAAACAACACCACCAAAAAACAACTAACCGCTTCCCGCATTTGGTATTCAGTTCCTGCGTTTTGTTTGTGAGATGTTGTAGCTTAAGTGAGACAGTCCAGGAGTCTGTCAGCAGAACTGACAGGAATTATCGCTATTTAGACTTGGAAGATGTGACCTCTTGATATTGAATTGACTGCGCTAATTTGAGATAGAGGGTGGGGGGTCGTTGGTTGGGGGGGGGGTAAAAAAAAAATCATTCCCCGTCTTCCTGAGGAGTTCCTGCCAAATAACATTAACGCTAAAGCGGATCGATGGAAGCAGACTATTGATTGCACCTCGTCATGGATAACAGACGTGCCTCTCGCAGCCCATTTAACGCCGTTTTTCAGGGAAGATGACATGCGTAATGACCGGGAGGCTCGAGACAAAGGAGTCTCCTGGCAAACAACACATATAAATGGAGCGACAACCTCCGAAATAACCTTTTCTATTGTTGTCAACGCTGCGGATCAAACACAAGAGTCGAATTAGAGATTGATTTGCTGTACCGGTCCCCCTCGACACTCACAAGCATACGGAGGGCTGGACTGCTGGTGTTCAAGTGATGTGTGGTGTGAATGGACAGAGCCGCAGGAATGAAGATGACGACCTCAATAAGTGAGGTGACGGAATCAGAGCAAATGACAGGATTTTGAAAAAAAAGAAAGAAGATGCAGAACTGGCCCATTATGGAGTGTGGTAGGGGTATGCACAAGTTGACACAGGTATTACTTTTTAGCGTTTGCATTGTGTATTATCACAAAAAAAGAAAAAAAATAATAGCGTACAACACAATTATAAAATCTTATTTGCCCCCCCCCCACACACACACACAAGGATTACACAAGCAAGAAATACCGTGGCTTTATATGGTACTTTTTATGTACGTATACAGTAATCCCTCGTTTATTGCGGGGGTTACGTTCCAAAAAGAACCAGTGATAAGTGAAATCCGTGAAGTAGTGAACTTTATTTTTTTACAGTTATTATACAATACTTAACTACATATACAATGAAATCAAAGACCAAAACCAAAAACGTTTTCAGCAAATAACTATCATAGTTTTTGGAAATACACGTCGCCGCCGACACGTTCTGATTTAAAGGGTTAAAAGCATTAAAAAACTGCCCTAAAAAAAAATCCGTGAAACAGCGAAGCCGCGGAAAGTGAACCGCATCAGAGCGAGGGATCATTGTACTTCAATTCATTTTAGCCATAATGTAACAACAAATGCTTAAATACAGTCATACCTCGGTTTTTGACCATAATCTCTTCCAGAAAGCTGTTCGAAAAGCGATTCGTTCGAAATCCGAAGCTATTATACGAGCCCATGATTAGGGGCTAATACACTATGCAGAAATCACATAAAAACAGTCATATTTGCATAAATCACAACAAAAACGTCTGCTCACAATGAACGCTACACGAGGAAGCGTCACTTCCTCTTGTACGGAAGCCGAGAGGAGTCAAGTGGTGTATTCGGGTTTGCTCAGTTTGGTCGAAAACCGGTTTTCGGTCGTAATCCGAGACGTAAAAATCTCGAATTTTCTGGTCGAAAACCAATTTTGAGACGTTGGAAAACCGAGGTTTGACTGTAGTTTGTTTTTCAGAAATAATACTAATACCCATTTCTGCATGATGCCGTTTTGTATGTGGTGTTTTTGTAAAAGCATAAGGCTAGTGACGTCCGCAAGCCAGACACTGAGCTGCACTGTGTTTGTTTACAGGCAAGGGCGCAAGGCACGATCTAACCAAAATAGTTGTGACAAGCTTTCACTAGCCACACACGCTGACACGAAAGCTCAAATCTGGCCGACGGGCCTTCAGTTTCAAACCTGTGCTCTAAAGTGTCACAAAATCGTCGCACACATCCAAATGTCGAGTGGCAGCCAGCTGTGCAGAAATATTTCTTCTTTACTTTATCCGACCAGAATAAGAACAGAATCCAACAAACAACGTTTTGAAATATGCCATAAATTTGCCACTTGGATCATATTGTGGTTGGACTCTTTCTCACCGCTAACAAACCACGACTGAATTTGTTTGGAATGCTACAGGGACCCCCTTAGAAGAATGCAGTTGATTTGATTCTCACCAGAGTTTGATTACTGTGTTCACACCTGATCAAACAACTGCACCAAGGAGGAAAATGAACTGCAGTTTGATTAAACGAAGCACCTATAGGAAGCATTAAAAGAGAAGCACAGCTAGAACAACAAAACCCTCAAAAACACAGCCCAATCACAAAACCTGTGCCATCAATTGCTCCCTGAACACACCCCGTGTGTTACTGTGATTACCGTAGATGCCACCTTTTAAACATGTGTTGAAAAAAACAAAAACAAAAAAAAAAAGAAAAAAACAGTTTGGGGGGTTTTTTTTCCAATTAGCAAACAAACCTATTCAGGCATTTTAAATGGCACGCTTTAAAATGTTACAAAGTGGGTGTTTTGTGTGCACGGGCCGCTTAATGGTGTGGCAGGTGTAAGCACTCTGCCGCAGAATTTGGAAATCAACTTCCCATCAGGCAGGCTGATGGATAACTCTGACTGGCTGGCCAATATAAGAAAAAGAAAAACATACAACCAGCCTGATTGCAACGTGCCAAAGAAATCGTTTGGCGGAGGAAGATGAATGCCTCTGTGAGCCAGGCCTTCTCGTCCAACATCATGGACCTCAAGAGTATTCTTGTGGATGGAATGATAAAAATTCACGCAGCGGGAAAATTCCAAGACAGCTGGTTCTGTTATTCCAGGGTTGGGAGGGTTACTTGGAGAAAATACATCCAGAAATGTGCTCTTAACACATTTCATTTTTGATAACACCGGTACATTTTTAATGCGTGTATAAAACAACCAACAGCAAAGGTTTTGAGGCGAAATAAAGAAATAAATAACTAGACGAATAAATTCTACTACGACTACTACTACTACTACTAATAATAATAATAATAATAAAAATAATATAATTACCAAATTTGTATTTGTATTTTGTTTTCCAGTGCAAAGGCCTCTGTTGCATAAAAATGAGCATTCAAGGGCGGCACAAAACTGCTGAACTTATGTGCAAGAACTTATTTTGTGTATTCTTCCACAAAAATCAACTCCTTCAAAATGTTCATATTATTGACGGTCCAATATTAGTCCTGCATGTGATTCCAAATCCGCCAAAAAATATATTAGCCCGACTCACACTGTAGTATATGCCAGTCAGTGTAAGACCCAGTGGGAGTGCAACTAATACACGCCTGTAATCTAGTGGTGAATGGTGAGGTTACAACTTAACATACAATTCAACCCTGAATATTTGAGGATTGTTTTTTCTTCTTGTTTTTTTGGAGATTTTTTTTTTTTTTAATTTTTTTATTTTTTTGTAGTTTGGATTTTCCCTGATGTTCCCGGGATTTTTCTTCCCCATTTTTTTCTGTGTTTTTGGAAGATTTTGCCGGGTTTGTTAAAAAAAAAAAAAAAAAACAAAAAAAAAAAACAACAACTGAGCAGGGAATTCAAAATTAATTGAGGGCCGCCAGTTGCCCATCCCTGCTGTTTATGTATTCAGAAAGCCATAAAAGCTTCTCTCAGTATATGAAGCTGACCCAATACATTTTCCCCCTGATTGTATGTCTCAGCTGTCTCTTCCCACTTCATTTGCATGTGCGTCGTAGCTTACTTAACTATATAATATCTTGAAACCTTTGTCTGAAAGCTCTGTTAAGTGATGTTGCTGCAAGGAAGGTAGAAAATATCTGCATGCACACCTGCTCCTACAGCTGTCTGGCGCATCACCATCATGAGAGGGGTTGGGGGAATTTATACTTTATAAGCAGCCAAGAATTGATCATCGCCCTTTCCAGAGATTGACATTGTGACCAAACCTTGCCTTTTTTTTTTCCTAAAAACAAAATGGAACCAAGCTGGAGATTTTAAAGAAATGATTGTGCATGGAAGTGCTAATTAACGTGAACGTGTCAAGAAACCCGCTGTCTGATAATGACCGGGAATTACGCTCACTGGTAAATCCGGCACCGTGGATGTCATCTTCACATGAGGTGTCTTTAGTCATGCAAAGCCCTGGGCTGTAAAGCTGTGGCACAGGACAATAAAATGGAATAATAGGAGGAGATAATGAGCCTATTACAAGACTCATTTTAACACATTTATACGCCGGTGGAACATGCTGTGATCCCAAATAATGAGGATGAATCATGGTGAAGGTGCTGTTGACTGATAGAAAGCGTTCCTGATGCTTATCATCCCCGCTGTCCTTAGAACTGCAATCCGCCGAGACTGTACACATCACGCCAGCTCGGAGTGAGGTGTAGCGGGAGATGAAATGGTTTAGGAGAGGGGTTGTAGTTGGGGTGGGGGGTGAGGAGAAAAAGCTCTCTGTGTTGAAGCAGACCGCTCATTCACCAAGCAGCTCACACAGCAGAGGGAGGAAGAGGAGAAGGAGGAGGAGGAGGAGAACAGCTGCTGCAGCAGTGTGCACGCAGAATTTTGCATGAAAATAGCAAGGGGGGAAAGAAAAAAAAGCCCCCAAAAAACAAAAAGGAGATTTAACAACAGCAGTATGAGAATTGTACGTGGATGAAGCCATCAGCTGTTTGGACCTCGGGAATAAAGTGTGTGTTTAACACTTGACCAGTAGAGGAATGCGCGGATACTGGGCGTCTGCATCCCTGTGGCAAAGTTGAGCTCGAGTGGAAATGGAGTTGAAAGAAACATCTCACTGCACTGCAAATTCCACGCCTTTTCGATTCACAGGTTTCACTTCCCAAAGAGTCCAGAATTTGGTCTTCTTTGCAAAGTCAGGTGAGTACAAAGAACCACTTTACTTCATTGTTTTGGTCTCAAACGAACAATTCTCAGCCAAGTGTTTCGTTCAACCCTCCCAGTCCGGAGAGAATGAGGTGTCGTTGGGTGAAGCATGAGCCGTCAGAGAATCAGTCATAAGCGGCTGTCTCTGCTATGGACGAGTGCGGCTCTCGGCCTCTGGCTCTGCTGCTGCCGGACCTTGCGGGCAGCCGCCACCGGAGACGCAGCCGCCGGAGCCTCCGGACCGGCCGGCGGCTCCCTCGCCGGCTCGCTGTCATGGCTTCTGTCGGATAAAGGACCTTTCCACCAGTCTTTGGAGTTCACCGAGGCTGCAGAGAGGCACCAGCAGGGCTTTAGCACCCGATACAAAATCTACAGGTGAGAGAGGTGTGAGTGAGCGCGTGCGCCGCGCGGATTGTATAAGGAGTGCAGGGGATATATCATTGATGCATTTTGGAGCGGTGCAGCGTGTGTGCGTGCAATCACTCATTTCACCTGACATAGCACTTAAAACCAGAGTGGAATTAATCGGTGACAGCAGCAGCTGCTGACGAAATGTACTGAAAGCTTGCCCGCTCTCAGGTTTGCCCTCGCAGGTATCACACCTGCCAACACTGAGCTATGTGAAATTCAGCCAAGCGTATTCGGACTGAAAAAGAGCAAGAAGAAATGATTGTCCACTCATGCTGTGTAACTGGTAGACATGCAAAAGCAGGAAGAGACATCAGTTCAACTCATTCAGCAATGCCACTTTTGTTTGTTTTTTGTTTTTTTGTTTTTTGTCCATGGCAAATCTCAAGCCTTCCCAAGCCGAGACTTTCTCGATATGACCCATTTTGCCCTGCAAAGCTTTGTGGCTTGTGTCTCCTCTTTCACAAAAACAAAAATGACTCCGGCAGATCATTTGTATCTTTTGGTCCTTTATACTATCATTGAAATTGAAAATTGATTGCAAGATCAGAAATGGCACTACTCGTCTGTGGTTTGATCATTTTCTTCCGTTTTCATATTTGAAACCACGGGTCAATAACTCCAAATCTACGGCCCAATTAGCCACCACAATGTGAGGAATGATGCTGCACTGAATGTGTTGCATTGAACACTGTGTTGCAAAAAATTAGGCATAATTATACAGTGAATATTTTTCAAGGATATTCGAGAACAAAGCCACAACCACATCAGTATGCACAATACAGTGCACCGAATTATACGAGCTCCTCCCCACCCCAAAAAAAGAGCCCAAAAATCGGATTTCCATGATCGCATACAAATGATTAAGAACAACTAAGGTGTTCTCAATAGGGTTGAGGTCAAGGGATAAAATGTGGACTTGTATGTGGCCACGCTGTGCTTTTTTATTTATTTATTTTTTTGCCCTTCATTTCTACCCATAGCAACTCAGGCGTCAGTGGCAATTTGACCAGCGTGGGATGATGCGCTGTCTTGCATGAGAATTATTTGACAGCAGAAGGCTCTGCTCTTTCGTCTTTATTTCACTATGACATGAAATGACCGGTTAGAAGCTCCACACATTTTGCAGAGGTCATTTTGACACCTTCAGACACCCCGAGGGCCTACCATATCATATCATATCAAATATGATATATTCTCATTATTCCAGCACACACACACACAAAAATGCCTTTGGGACCTCTTGGGACATTTTTTTTTATTTTTTTTATTTTGTACTTTTTATTGAATATCCTGGTAATTATCACTTTGAGGGGAAATTCAACTTACACTCTGCTGTGTATATATTGCACACACACGCGCACACACACACACACACACACAGGCACACACACACACACACACACGCACGCACACGCGCACACACACACAAGCAATCATACAGATGCAGGCAGGCCAGAGTGAAAGAGGCGTGCAAACACGGCTGTACCTCTTGAGCTGGGAGGTGTCGACGTGGTCTTGCTCAAGGACACCCAAACAGTAGCCAGGGGAACAGAACTCGCATCATACCAGCACATCGGACGACATTGCCATCAATCAACAATCCGGAATTCCACGCATGTCAAACATCCCAAATTACATGAAAATGAGACTTCTGGTGCAAACATTTCTCCTCGTGAATTAGAGATTAGGGCCGGTCGAAAGATAGATTTACGTCTTCGGAGCATCATTCGTTGAAAGCTTCTTGCGACTCCACTGACACACAGCTTTAAGTACCTGCTTCGCACTCATGAGCGGATTTTTAACAGCTGCTGACACCTTTAAGCGACAGCAAGTGTCCTTAATAGGCTTTCGGAGCCACAGAGAAATTATTTAACTATGCTGTTATTTTCTAGAAATGGCCGCAGCGTTCACGAGACACAATATGTTCAACCATGCCGTGCTTTTCATTAGCAGAGAGATTTTTTTTTTCCCTTATTATACATCAAACAATGACTTGCCCGATAATGTGGACAAACATCCTCAAGTCATTTTCTTTTCATGAGACTTACAACTATTAGAACTTTATGAGATTTGTGATCTAAAGAGAACAAGATCCCTGCTAAACATCTCTAACTCAAAAGTTTATTGAACATAAAAACAGTGTTCCCTCGTTACTTAGCAGTTCAGTTATTGTGGCTTCGGGCTATCGCGCGGTTTTCATTTGTGACCACACTTCATCTATTGCGGGTTGACCTCACTGTTTCACGGGCCTTTCTGAGATTTTAAAAGACTGAAGAGCTGTTCGGGACATCATCGTCATCTTCGTCTCCATAACTACGACTAAAACCCCAAATCTGCATTCGCTATTCCTGTTCATCTTAACGAGCAAATGCCGAATTAACTCAAATCTGTTACGAATTAAAACAAAAAATGCTTCATCCTCAAACAAATGAAAAATCTAATTTGATCTAAATGGTAAATGGAGTGCCCTTATGTGGGGCTTTATCTAAGTTAACCAAATGCAAAGGTTTTCCTTTTTAATTTAAAATAGCTTACTTCAACTTCCAGAATCCAGCATGTTTATTATTGCATTGGTCTAGCAAATCATCTGGGTGGTGTTGTCACCAGCCAGCTTGCACGAAGCAAACCTGTCGTCTACCGTCCGGCATTCAAGTGGCCAAACGCACTTCGTATGCCACTGAGACGTTGTGAGCGGCCAACAGAAAGACAAAGGTGTTGATACCCTGCCTCGTTGGGTTTTTGTTGACTAATTACTTAACAATTGACTTGAATGTTAATTAGCCAACTAAATATTATTATAAACACACAAATGATTCCAGATGGACGCCTCGATGGTAGTGCACTTTTCAGACATCACGTATGTCACGCCCACATTCACGACGTCACACATACCGATGACATTTACAATCACCCATTTAAAACCCTAATGTTGGCGGTATTGGGGTTTTAAAGGTCATGTATACGGGAGCAAAAACCCAAATATACTCATACAGATTTTTAAAAACCCGAATAAGATCCCTGTGTTACCCCTTTTCTAACCCGACCGACTATTGTAAACACGATTAGGTTAACACTTACAAACAGGTTCTTCCAAAGGTTTCCGAAATCGAAATTTTGACCTCAACCCAAATCTGGACTACATGTAAACATAGTCACTGAGATGTGATTGTGGCACAGACGTCCGTGTAGTGTGGCCATTCAACCCGTACAGGTTCGAATGAGGGAAAATTCTGATTTGCCGTTTGTTTTCAACGGATGATTTGCTACTCAATTCGAGTCACCACCCATTCGTGCCGAGCCCTAGTAAACACGAAAACAAGACAAAAAGTCAACCTCAAAATTGCTGAAATTCACCTATTGCCTGCGTCATGGAACGTATCACCTGTGAAAAGTGAGGAAACATTATAAAGCATACTAAATGGGTATTCACTGCATTGTTGCATTAGGAAAACACATCCTTTTTCTTTAAACCATAAAAACAGAGAAGCACTCTCAAGAATTGGATGGTCTCCTCAAAGGTATTGTTTTGGTTCTATTGACACTTGAATTTTACAGTGATACCTGGAAAAGGGACCTTGGAGTCCAAATTATCCTTATGGAGTCCTTCAGTGTATATTTTACCCTAAGGGATAGATGTGAATTTCGACTGACGGAGTGTCCAATATGAAGCCGCCTTGGGGCTAACATTGCTCTACTACCTTTCTGACCTCTGTGATGTACAATTTACGGTGCCCAACATGTTGTGCTTGCCAACCATCCAGCAGCGTGTAATTACGTTGTCTATTTGTTCTTTGGAGTTCTCCTTTCTCACATTTTCTTTCTTTTCTGCACTGAGTTCTTTCCATCTCAATTGATGGCTCACGGTGCATGTAATAATCTGTCATGTTCAGCATGGGGAACATTCCTTTCGCACACAATCCTCTGCTTGCCATATGTGCCTATTATGGAAAAGAAAAGGGGGCGGGGGCCCATCCGTCCATCAGAGGTGGACACTGAGTCCGTTCACTCGTTATGACGATTGACCGTAACGGCATACTCCACATTGTCCCAGTTCCCCAATTATTTCCCTGCTGAGCAGCTTTCCTCATGCTATTGATTGCCTCCCAGAAGGCGAGAGAATCAGAGGAAGCAGCTAGTGGCACGGTGGGAAATGGAATACGGTCAAATAACAGAGTTCATTCACTGACATTTGTGTCCAGGAAGCGCTTGCATTTGTTTAGTCGCAGCGTTTTATTATTTTCAAACCTTCCTTACGCCCATGATACTCTATGTCAGTGGTTCTTAACCTTGTTGGAGTTACTGAGCCCAACCGGTTCATATGCACATTCATCGAACTCTTCATTAGTGAAAAATAAAAATGATTTTTTTGTTTTTGTTTTATAAATTCAACATATTTTTTTTTTTTGTTTTTGTTTCATAAATTCAACATATAAAAAACGCATTTTTGAAAAACTGGGAAAAAAAAGAAATCAAATTTTAAGACATAAGTTGTTTTTAATTGTCATGCACGGTTCATTTTGTGCTAAAAAAAAAGGAAATCAAATTTCAAGACATAAGTTGTTTTTAATTGAGCACAAAATAAACCATGCATGACAAACTCATAACTAATTGACATGTTGAGTCGGGTGTGTCTTAATCTCCATGGCAGAGGCTCCGTCGAACCCCTGAGACCGATTCACCGAACCCCTCGGGTTCGATCGAACCCAGGTTAAGAACCGCTGCTCTATATACATGAGTGGCAATCCCGTAGCAAATACAGCGATGGAAGCGGAAAGACTGCCTGCTGGGACGCTTGTACCCAGGGGTGCTCGAACAATCCCCAATTACTTCCAACATCGCTTGTTCACTGATTTGACTCAATGAGGACAGCTGACAGCGCGACGCTGATTTGGGGCATGTTTTGACGCGATCTCGTAAAAGTGGGACTTTTTGTGTCATTGAAGTTTGATGTACGGACAGCAACACTGCCGAAGCAATTTCAGTGTACACAGAGAAGCAGAAACAACTCATCACTAAGATGCAGCAATTGCTCATCGTCCCGGCAAAATTGTTTTTTTATACCCGACTCAGCATAAATTTGGATTGACAATAAGAATTGTGGGATGAATGTGTCACTATGAGACACAGTCAATGAATATTTCTTTGGAGGAGCTTCATCAAACTCATTATCGAAAGTGTCATACGTGCAACAACAGCCGTGTTTCACTAGAGATGAATTGAATGCGGCATACACGAGTGTGGCCACGTTCTTGTTTTTCGAAACAACCGTTCTGCAGTTCAGGGAAGAACACCCCCCCCCAAAAAAAAAGAAAAAAAGCTCCACTTTTCTGTTTACAAAACTTTGTTCTGGACTGTTGAGACCAAACTCATTTTTGTCGCAGGCCACTTTGGAGTTATGACAGTGAAACCGAATGAATGTATAATCATCATATCATATTATTACTTGTACACAAAAAAAGTTTTCAAATAATCAACTATTTGCTTGTTGTTTGTTGAATTATTGTTCAAGTGAGTGTAAACAGGGTATTAAAATTATGACAAAATGTCAATGTGATTTATGACACAATTTGACATTTTGGTACAGATTTTAGCAAAGATCATGCAAGTTGACACGCATGATTTGCTTTCGCGGGCCACATAACATTACGTGGCGGTCCGGATATGGCCCTCGGGCCTTGAGTTTGACACCTGTGGTCTGGACTGATAAGTGAAACTGGGTTTTTGGTCTCCAAACTGCTGTTGTCAAGTTGTTAGACTAACAGCATAATCAAGTCAAAGTTTTGGGAAGACCAGAAAAAAAAAAAAATCAACAAAGAACAAGAATCCTCTCACCTAGATTCAGATTCAACCTGGATGACCGAGAATCTACACTGACCTCGATATGGGATCATTTTTTGGGGTGGAAAATGACATATTATGCACAGGATTTCACAGTATATTCCAGCCATCCATTCATTTTCTGATTCGCGTTATCCTCATAAAGGCCGCGGGGGTGCTGGAGCCTATTCTAGATTCAACCTGGATGACCGAGAATCTACACTGACCACAATATGGGATCATTTTTTGGGGACACCCTGAACCGGTTGCCAGCCAATCGCAGGGCACACAGAGACGAACAACCATCCGCGCTCACACTCACACCTAGGGACAATTTCGAGTGTTCAATCAGCCTGCCATGCATGTTTTTGGAGTGTGGAAACCGGAGTACCCGGAGAAAACCCATGCAGGCACGGGGAGAACATGCAAACTCCACAAATGGAGGCCAGACCTGGAATTGAACCTCTGCACTGTGAGGTCAACACGCTAAACACTCGTCCACTGGGCCACCACCTTCAGCGTATATTGTTAATCGATATTATGAAATCCAAAATGACTTCGGCTAACATTATTCAGAAAGAATCAAGATGTGTTTTGTTTCTCTCTAAAGACCACTAGTTTATTGCAAAAGTTACCTCTTAAAAAAAGAAGAAGATATATTTTCTATGTCTGCCTACCTCATTTTGGTTCAATTAACAAATGCTCCTCAGCTGAAATGGAGCAAATTTAATGAGCCATTTTATATGCATTTTATGATCATCCTGAAGTTCGATGCTCAACTCTTTTCACTGTAAAATGCGGTTGAGGGCTTTGGCTCGAGGTTTTCCGTTTTCTTTACCCTTGATGGAGGTTTTTTTTTTTTTTTTTGCTCGAGCTATGAGGCATGCGTTCCAGGTCAAAGAAGTAAACAAGTAGGTGCACTTTGTCTCTGCAGTACTCGTATTTAATTGTCGTTGTGTTCATTCGGACGCGGGGACACCTTCCTTCTGCGCCCGTAAATGCCAAACTCGGATTCATCAATAAATCTCATTCCGACGCAAGCCAATGATATGGCCTTGTCTCCCATCCACAGATATGTTTTCAAGATATAATTATCCTCCGAGAACCCGATTATGAAATGTTCTTTTAATTTAACTAACCGGACTCGCGCACTTCTTTATCTCGATTGAAGTAGCTTTTATGCCAACGAACCACCATCAAGTCATCATTTCAGAAAGCGTCCTTTTCGGAGCGACTGACACAACTTATCGATTCGTTACAAAGCCTTCCAGAGCGGGCTTGCGACACTCCATTAGAAACGTTCAGCCTTAAGCGTGATTTGTTGACGAGACAGACTTCACAATTTGACTTCACTTCGTTTCAGTTGTCACGTTCGCACAATCACAGTGGCGCGTCGTAATGAAGCTTCAGTTGGAAAATGGTGGCAGGGTCTCACTGATGATGCTGAATGATGACTGCATGCTAATTTACCTGCTTCTCATCAGCTTGACTGCAAGAGATAAAACCCAAGAAAATCAATCATTTTGTTCAAATGAGTTTAAAGGATCCAGGTCCAAAAATAAGCCTTAAAGTTACAGATCTGTTGCCTTAGAAACTGTGCGCCATCTTAAATGACTCCATTCAATGATTTAGTCGTCATTTTGCACAACATTTTCGACTTGTGTATTCTGCATCAGTTTTAAATGAAGACATATTTTATTTAGGCTCAATTCAACTTTGAAGCCGTAATTGACAGAAACGGACCTGTATCGTTAATTAAATATTGAAGATACCACATTGGCTATCAAGGAAGTTAAAAGATGCCTTTCTCATTGAAGTAACTACGGACATACTGAGCTGCAGTAAACACATGGTATCCTCGTCATTAAAAGCCAGGACATGTTTTTTTTTCTTTTTTTACTTATATTAGATATTCTTCTCTATATTTGAATCTCACTTTCGCATTTACTTCCTTAATTGTCAGCTGTATAAATCCAATAATCCACCAGTAGAAACCAAAGTAAATACGACTTCTAAAGAAGGTGCGAAGAATTCACGCAGTTTATCGATCTGTTTGATCAGATAAGAGGCTTTGTGCATAAAATTAATGCCTAAATGGATACTGTGTTTCTCCATCCTCCGAAGCTTTATTTAGGCAATACTTCACTGCAACGTGGCCAGGAAAATCAATTACTGAAGGAATTTAAAAAGAAAAATGCCCAATACTGTATACACAAAAAGCTCACCACAGTAAAATACCATCGACATCGATTTAATTACGTTTGTTTGTTTGCTGCTTTTATACAGGCAGACCCATCGAGAAAAAGTCATGTTTAAGATTGTTTGCATCTCCGAGCAAATTCAAGTCCTCGCACTCATGGGGAGGGCGCGGAGGTTGCCATCCAATGGTTGGAGTGCGTTCATTACTGTCACTTTACATTCTTCATCTAGTGTCTGATTTGGGCTTAGTTAAACTGATTACATTGTAAGGCGGATTCAACTCATTCGGTTTGATTCCAAAGGTACATAAAACTTCTGCAACCTGCTGGGAAGATGAAGGGACGTAAACCTTACAGTTTTATTTTTAATTGGGTTAGAAAGATGGTGGGTGGGGGCGAAAAAAAAAAAGAAGTAAAAATATTATAGAAAATCATCAGCCACCCACGATGACCTCTGTAACATTGACTTCATGGAGTGAATAGGAGGTGACAAATGCCACTGTCGGCTGCAGCCAAGTGAGCGTGTGTGTGTGTGTGTGTGTGTGTGTGTGTGTGTGTGTGTGTGTGTGTGTGTGTGTGTGTCCAGGGAGTTTGGTCGATGGAAGGTCAACAGCCTGGCGGTGGAGAAACGAGACAGTCTCGGTAGCACTCGCGGGCTGGCTCTGCCCCTCGACCCCGAGTTCATGCACACCATCCGCCAGCTGGGAAGACGGCCGAGCCTGCACGCAATTACCGAGAGCCTCATCAAAAAATATGGCACCCATCTCCTCCTGTCCGCCACATTGGGAGGTACGGTAAAATACGCGGGCCACCATCGCTCACTTTCAATATAGAGGGCATCTGTTGTTTTTTGTTTTTTTGTGGGGTGGGGTGGGGTGGGGGAGGGGAATGAAAAAACTACAAAGCGTTAGAATAGGCATAAAACAAATGGGTGCATTTTATTTTTTTTTTTTTTTGTTCTTGTGTCATAAACGGCATGCAACCCTGAATGGAGATTCATCACTGCTATTTTCTCTTGTTGAACATTTTTTCAGAGATGGCTTTTCATTATTGGTACATATTTTAAATGCCGACACCGCAAGATCCGCTGCAGACCACGATTGGCGAACGGAGAAGAGAATCGAGAAAACATGCTTTATGGAGCTAACAAAGATTACTCTGTCATTTATGATAGTGTAGTTAACATTATTCCAACAACGATAGTAGCTGCCTCCAAAACCCTCCAGTAAGCACACAGACGATATCTACGACATCTGATGAAATATCAGTGTTCAAAAATCTTTTCTTACTGTTTCCAAATTAATTGTCAGAAGTAGCTGGACATTATTATTATTGTTATTATTATTATTATTATTATTATTATTATTACACAAGAAAGGGGCAAAAGGAAACGTATTAACACAAACAGTCAATTTAAAAAATATATACAGCCAATGTTGTATAATATGGCAATATTCTCGAAAGGCCAGTATATTTACGAGTGTCGGCGCATATTCCAGGGCTGGATTTTATTTCCAGCACGTCCCTGCTGTATGTATACATGCATAATATGTATATGAATATATATATATGAATATATATAATTTCCTGTCAGCGAAAGACAGCAACAGTGCCATTCTTACCAAAGATGAGTTTTTGTATAGATACATTCATTGTATTTTGGGATCAGATTTGCATTGGTACCCAATGGTAGCACGAAATGAGACATTCATGATAACCCTGAAATGACGGTGATTAATGATGATGAAGAAATGATCCGTTCGTTTTCTGTGACTTTGCTTCAATTTATCCAAACTGTCAGTTCCTCCACAGTACTCAATTACTACTTTTCAATCTAATATGTAGAGATGCTAATGAAAGGTGATTAGTGTTGCTCTGTCAGAGCTAATGAAGCTTGCTTTCGCTCTGTGTGTGACTGTCACCAGGGGAAGAGTCCTTAACCATATTTGTGGACAAAAGGAAGCTGGGTCAGGAATCTTTGGTGGTGGGGGCTGAGGGCAGTAAAAGCAACAACACGGCCGGTGCAATTACGCTGGAGGCACTCCACCAGCTGGCAGCTTCCTACTTCATAGACAGAGAGAGTACCCTACGCAGGCTTCACCACCTCCAGATAGCCTCAACTGCCATACGGGTATGTAGACACATGTAAAAAGAGAAAGTGTGGTGGGAGATGGAGCAGCTAGTCTGAACCGCCTCAAGGCGACTGGGTGGCTGTCCAGCTAGACATAAACTTTACATATACCGTATTTTCCGCACTATAAGGCGCTTCGGATTTTCAGGTGCACCTTCAATGAATGGCCTGTTTTAAAACGGTTTTCATATATAGGGCGCAACGCATTGTAAGGCGCATAGAACAGAAGCTACAATCGTGGCTGTGGTTGCGTTCTGCAGCCACTAGATGGAGCCCCACTAAAGGGAATACAATACAGCTTTATTTATGTAGAGCACTTCACGACCACTGCAGCTGCAACAAAGCGCTTTACAGAACAAAATACTATGTCCAAGAAACCAGAATATAGATCCACATATAAGGTGCATTGGATTATAAGGCGCACTGTCGGTGTTTGAGAAAATGAAATGCTTTTAAGTGTGCCTTATAGTGCGGAAAATACGGTACTTAGGAATGAATTGAGAATATTACTGCAATACAAGTTCTGTAAGAACAGTGCATTTCATACACAAGGTAACGTGATGTACCTCACATGATTACAAAACATTTAAAGGCAAAATACGATATTTAAAGGGGATGTCAACTCCAAAACGCTCTTGACAGTAATATGTTCCATACACCTCCACTTGTCTAAATTCTGAATAATGTTGCGTTTGTGGAATATGAGTTAAGCAGCAAAATGCAGTCGTTTTTAGCCATCTCAGGGGGCGGCCATTTTGCTACTTTTGGTCAACTGAAAATGACAGTAGCTTCAGGGCTCAGGTAACAACCAATCACGCTTCACCTGTTTTCTGAAGCTGAGCCATGATTGGTCGTTACATGTGGCCTGATCATCTGTGATGTCATTTTCAGTCAAAAGCAACTGACAAAATGGCCGCCCGCTGAGATGGACAAACACGGATGGATTTTATTGCTTCATTTATATTCCACAAATGCAATATTAACCAGAATGCCGTGTTTCAGCTAGTAGGGCTGCGTAGAACATATTGAAAAGAAAACGCTTGGTTTGACATCCCCTTTAAAGCAAAACAATTTTAAGACATTTAAAAGCAAACAAAAATGACAAATAGTACAGCACAATGTTTTGGGGAAATTTGATTGTAGAAATCCTTTAAAACACCTTTAAAACTCCTCATTTTTTATTTAAAAACATTTACATTTGGGGCTCACGTCAGTTCTATTGGCAGCTTATTCCATTTGCGTGCAGTATAACAGCTGAATGTTGATGCCCCATTTTTGCTTTGAAATTTGGGCTCCTGAGAACCTTACTGGGTTTATATTCCACGAGCATTTTTTAAATGTATTCAGGAACCTTATCAGACCTCCACCTTAATCCCTCGCTGTCAGTGTCAATCAAAGCTAGTGATTCTACTTTGTATATGTGTAAAGGTTTTGTTGCAGCACTTTTCCTGAACTGTTCAGTGACTTCATCGTTGCTAAATAAAACCCTAACATTGTCATGTTGTTGTTTTGTCATTTTATTTTCCCCCCAGTATACCGAAAACTATCAAATATATGCGAAGACAAACAAAACCAAGTATCCGACGTTTTCTGCTAAGACCACTTAAAACGTGCTTGAATCAAATGTGTCAGTGAAACCACTGAAAAGCACCTTTGGTTGATTGCGTCATCTTAGAACTGAAGTAGAACTATTCCTTTACAAGTAAAATTAGGAAGGATGAATCCTGTAAGGCAATTGGAATAGACATGTATGTTCATTGAGTGTGCCTGACATGAGTCGGTTACACTCTTGAGCCATGTGCGCCTCTGAGATTTATAATGTAGTTCAGTTAACAACGTTCGTCAGATCAATCCCGTAAACTTCCAGCCACGTAGTTAAACCGTAACATTGAAAGCAATACTTCATTGTTCAATTCAAACGCATACGTATGGGCTTGCCAACCCCGAAGGAAAAGTTTAAGAGGAGTGGACGAGTGCAGCGGTTTCAAGGCCCTCCCAGCGAAACACCAATCATCCGTTTTAACATCTAAAGTAGCTATTAGAGAGAACGCATGCATCAGCCCCAGGGTAAAACGTAGACGCTAAAGTGAGTAGCTGCTGATGAAGACGAGTGCCACCCCACAAACATCTTCTTATGGTTATCTGTCGGCTTGATCGATTAGCGATATCATCCCATTAAGTCCCACCCAGCCTGTTTTCCATTCAATGAAGAGCCGAGGAGGAAGACGGGGAGGGAATGAACATCGCTCTTTATGAGGGATCCAAAAAACAGCTGCTTCCATTGATATCTTTTCATTAAAAATCGTACAATGTGGGAAATGCTGGGAAGGATTTTGGAACTTAAGTCTCTGGAGATTTGTGCATTTGAAATTTCTCGATTTGACAGCAGGATCAATTTCTGGTTGAATGAAGTGAGGAGCTCATCTGTCTGATGTTAGGTGGTCAGAGCAAAGTAGATCTCCTCCCTCTAATGGTTCACTCTGAGGAGAAAAAGCTGGTAAATTGAAGACCTTTTCAGGATTTCTTCGCAGTGTACTTGCATTCAAAAGTGATTTGAGGTATGAAGTACTTTTCATGGGCTATGTAGGTTATTTCAAAGCACATACAAAGTGAATCAACATTTGAATGTCGAGGTAGATAATAACCCTAATTATCTACGCAAGGGTGTGTACGTTTATGACGGTGATGTAAACCACTACTGGTTGGCCGGATTTATTTCATTCAATAAGCAACACAGTGTAACAATCCAGGGCAAATGTACACAAAGAACCAAAGTAAACAAACATGTTAACGTTAGCTTACCCTGCTGTTATGCTCTACTTGTGGAAGTGGCAGTATTTGACTTCTGCATTGTGATTGTTAGCGTGTCTCGTTCCAACTTATGCGCTCTACAGTAGGTCTACTGTCATTCTATTTGAAGTAAATAAAAAAACAACAACAAAAAAAAACAACAAAACAAAAAAACTGTGAAAAAAAAATACATAGTGATGTGACAACAGTTTCTGATTTTTCTCTTTTGTACTGCATGCAGGTAACAGAAACCCGGACAGGGCCACTTGGATGCAGCAACTATGACAATCTGGACACCGTCAGTTCCGTTCTCGTTCATAGTCCGGAGAACAAGGTTCAACTACAAGGTAAGAAAATGGGCCGTTTTAATTATATCATGAATAATTAGGGTCCTATGTGTAAAACATATTGTAGGTGTTATGCTATACGACGTTATCAATCGTCATTACGAATGATTTGCACTTTAACGGACATGACCGCACTTCAGTTTGCAACGATAATCGTAGCATAGGTCATGCTAGCCCATCTTCACTCAGTTTATCAAAGTTTAGCTTTCGTGATGGGTAGATGAAACGTTACTAATTTTTCTATTTCGTTTGTGCTTATTTAATGTCATGTCGGCCCGTTGTTGACCGTTTTTGGCCATGACATTGATTGGAGGAGAGTACTGATGCTCGTTGTTGTGCGCCTTCGCGCAGTTAATGAGGGTGGAGGACGTCTGCGCTTTTTGGACTGTCTCTGCTTGACTGCGATGGTACGGTCGCGGGGCACATGTTGTTTTGCACCTTAACCGCCAGCGTTTATTCAACACTGGTCAACACATTTTGACTCAATTGTTTTAATCCGAGATGTAACCTGAATGTAAACTTTTCAAGATGAATTTTGTTTGCGCTGATTCAAAATATGCCCTCATTTATTCTTTTGCATAACAGATAATAATAATCATCATTCTGACAGAGACATTCTTTTTTTCATCGGTTGCTACTGGTTCAAAAGGTTTCTTTTTATTATTGTTGTCTCCTGACTTAAGGTACCTATCCCAGAAATGGAAAACGTCAATTGAAAAAAAAGGAAAGACATTTAAGACGTCAAAAATATATTTTGGGACATATTAAAGCCATCTCTGATTAAAATGTATTGTTGACCAGGGCAGTCGGCCCCATTTTTGTTGAGCGGAGAATGTTGGCAATGCTAGACTGTCTGCGATGGTATGGCAGGAGTTTAATGGAGCCAAATGCATCCCAGAGGAGATTAATAGAGGAATGAGAGTGGACGCAAAAAAAAATAATAATAATAATAATAATAATAATAATAAGGAATGTAAAGCATGAGTAATTGCAAGATGGGACAAGAAAAAAAGCAAGAAAAATGTGACCCAATCTTTATGTATGCATGTTACTCGCCAATAGATAAACTAGTGGCATTTTTTTAAAAAACTCCCGTTGCTTGTTTACTTGCAAACCCAGCCGAGAGCAAACCGGGAGCGACATCATAAACGCTCTGATCGCGACATCTCTGATCCTGGCGCCCTCGGACGGGTCAAAGGAGACTTCACTCTTTTGCTCCTCTCTCATCTACTCACAGCTAAGCTTCAAACAACTGCCACGAGGGGGGGAATAAAACACTGCGCCTATGATGTATTTTCATCGGAGAAGAAAAATGCATCTGGTTATTTGCTACATACCTGTCAACTTTTCGGAGCGCCAACCTGTATAACTACCAAAAAAATCCTTATAAAGAGCAAAAAATCCTTATAACATACCAAAGCATTTTATATGTCAAAATAACGGCAGAAAAAAACCCACGAAATATGAATGATATATTTGTTTCCTTGTAGAACTTGCTTGTACACTACCGAAGTATGCAATGAATACTCTGCTGTTTTCAACTAGGAACCACGTGATTTACTGGAAAGTTACCGGAAATGAAAGCATTCGATTAGACTAGCACCATTCTGGGCAAAAGCAAACGGAACTACCTGTTAGGGGGGGGGAAAAAAAAAAAAAAAAAACCGGAAATTTTCAGAATCCGTATGATTTGTGCGATATGGCCATATACGTAAGATTCACCACAAAATCCGTATGAACTATGGCTAAACCGTATGAGTTGACAGGTATGTTGCTATTGTATTCATGTTATTATCATTTTACGTTTGATGTATATGTTTCATCTTTGACTTCATGTACAGTCTTACGTAGATCACATTGTAAAGTTCAGTGTGTATGTATTTGTGGGTGCTTTTTATTTGGCTTATTGTTTTGTTTTGTTTTTTTGTATTTTTGATTTAGATGATATTCACATTTGCTGTTTGCAGTCAGATGTTGGAGTTGCAAAAGAGCATTGGCATTCATTTGCCTCACCCGGATAAATAAAAGTTCAATAAAAGGAACTAGAATTTAATAAATATTGCATATGATAGGATTTATTTTTTGAATGGAATATCTTAAGAGTCATTTAGTGCAGTGACCCACAGATCATGAAATGATTTGAATGCTGAAAAATGTTGAACCTGAAGACCAAAGGAAAAGCTTCCAGTATTTCACCGTTTTGAGGTTGCATACAGTACATCCACCAAAGTATGATGTTTTCATTAGAGCTGTCAAATGATTAAAATATTTAATTGTGATTAAAAATGAACTCATAACTAATCGTGATTGCTCACATTTTGTTATCATTTCTAAATTTCCTTCCACAGCAATTCCACACCAAAAAGCACAGTTATTGACAGTGAGATTGGGTTATCAATCGCTAGATTTTCTTTGCCCTGTCTTCGAAGTGGTTTGAGTGAGTGTCCTGTGTTATATTAAAACAACAACCACCAATTACGTGGAAATAACGTGTCCGTCTATCAGGGTTCAAGTTGCCTCAGTTATCTGTAATAAATTAAATACCCTTCCCAGACTTACCAACTTTCTCGCTGATATTCTTCAAAGTTTTGGGCCGAGTCCTGGCACTGGAAGCTGACGGCATTGCCACACAATGCTTATTTTGTTTCACACCGTTTGTCCATCTGCACAGGATACCATATGTGTGCATTGGTTAGTACAATTCGATACACCAGTTGGCTGTTTGTCTTTGATATTCAAGTTATCATAAGCGTCAAGCACAAAAAAAGAAGATATTCATTCTGTGGTTTTAGATTTTTTTTAATTAGCTAGTTATTTATTCTGTCAAGTCACAGAATTGGCCCTTATATGTATATACCAGATACACACGCGCACACACACGCGCACACACACACACACACACACACACACACACACACACACGTATATATGCCCCCCCACCCGACCCCTCACCTAGACACAGCAAACCTGTAGCTCATAAGAAACTCGGGGTCCTTTCTGCAGAAACCTTTCCGACCATTATATGAGAAAAAAATGGCATTGCTGCTTTAAGGGTTAACCGTGTCATGTCACTGTATTCAAGAAAGTCTGAGAACTCCACTGAAAGCACATTGATGTTTTTTAATGGGCCATTAATGTATAATTTGCCTTTTCAAAAGTCACTTCAAGTACATTCTCCGACATAAGTGTAGGTAATAACTCAGACTATTTTCAGCAGAACAGTCAGTACCTTTTAGTATGAATTTCTGGCAGCGGGTCAGTGTAAATGGGGTGGCGTCACAATGAACTGCTGGCCCATGTTACATCTAATGAATTGAACTCTCAGGTGAAATAGATATTGGACTGAAATTGGCCATCGGGCCTTGCTGTAATCATACAATTACTTTGTCAGAGTTGTCATGCGATTTGTTGACGGTAATTAGAAGCAGCAGCCTCATTCTCTCGTCTTTCCTGGGCAAGTGTAATAATTGCCTTGGTCCTGTCTTTCATGCTCCACAGGGCTGCAGGTCGTCCTCCCGAGCTACTTGCGGAGCCGCTTCGTTCAGGCGGCTCTCAACTACGTCGGCTGTAAATCCGAGGGTCATTTTATGTGCCAAAACAGTGAATGCTGGTGTGAGTGCCGTGTGGAATTTCCACACTGTAACTGTCCTCACGCTGACCTGGACACTCTGGAAAACAACCTTGTGCGCATCAGAGAGGCCTGGAGGCGGACCAACGAGGAGTTTGAGGCATCCGGTGAGTCAGGTTTTGTGATTTATTGTTGGCCTTAGGAGTAATTTGAAAATGTCAGCGTGACTTTGTGCAATCAACAAGCTCCAGTGGGAGCACCGCTGCTTGAAATGGTGCAGAATTTTCGGTGCTTGTGTTCTGAGAGAAGCAGATTGATACTCGGATTTGAGCGCTAACGTGAACAGAAAAGCTATGTCTTGTTCCCGTTCTAAAGTCTCACATGGCTGTCAAGTGTTGCCAGTCTGAATCAAAAGATCTGCCACTCAAGGTGTCAGATCTCAGTATGTGGCTCTCGGTAGGCGCTTGAGCCTGGACTCGGTGGACTGCGAGGCCACTTCAAGTTCATTTTTGTCTTACCAAAGTGTTACTGTGAGTAACTATTCAAAACATTCATGGAATAATTCAATCAGAAAATCTTTAATCAAGTCAGGACCGTGCCGCTGCAGTTAACACTAATATACCTGTAACAGTGCCGCGCTTACTAATTGATTGTGCGACCTCCACTAGGAAGCCTGGTTGTCTTCATTTTGTGCCTCTCTTGTAATTTCCCACAGTTTTGCATTGAGCAAATTGGCTTGTGCGCAAATAAAAGGTCCACCGAACAAACAAAGCACGGCTCGCGTCCTCGGACCTAATAATGTAATATTGCATCATTTTGAAACAAAGCTATCATGACCATAAACACAACATACCCGTCCCTGATTGGATTATCAACCTCAACCGGCATTTAGCACACAATTTACCCCAGAGGTTTGCAGAAAATCTGATTTAATCTGTTCTGGGGCATGAATAAAAAAGCAGAACCTAAAATTCAAGGTTATCCCACCCCTTGGGTATGATGGAAGAACACTTTCAAGGATTTGTTGGGATTTTCGGCAGAATCATACTTTGTAAATACGCCTGACAATGTTGAGGGTTCAAATCTGGGCTTTGCTGTCAGTCCATCATCATTATTTTGACCGTGCTTCTGTCATCACTAAATTATCGCTATTTTAAGACCTCAGTAAATTTCACCGGCTTGTCCGTCTGTCAACCGTATGTCCATTAAAAGAAAAAATAAATAAATTATACATCATAGTCCAACAGATGAAAAATCCAACTTGATTAAAATAGTAAATGCGGTATACTATTTATCAGGGCATCGACATCATATGGTGGGTAATGTAAGAGCATTAGAAATATATATATATATTAGTGCTGTCAGTTTAACATGTTCTTATTGGCATTCATTTCAATCAATTTTAACGGGATTAATTTTTTTATAACGAGATTAATGCGGCATCACGTCACAGCGGATGTTACGTTGCTCTAAAATAATAAAATGTGCTCCAAGTTTGAATAACTGCTCCAAGTGAAAAACGTTCATGTAAAATTGAAAATCGAAATTGTTGTTTCAGTAAATATTTGCATTTTGCACAAAGAAAACTGATCCACGATTCCATATTGATGACAGCATTAAAATGGGAAAAAATAGGACAAAAAGAAATCAAAGGAAACTTAGAATAGATAAAAATGTGTGATTAATTGCAATTAATTATGAGTTAACTATGCCATTCATACATTGAAGCGCGATTAAAAATTGTAATCATTGGACAGCACTTGCATATATATATATATATATATATATATATATGCATGCATGCGTGCTCTGTTGGCATATTTCTATTCATATTTCTCTCAAGCTGTTTGCTTTTCTGGGACAAAGTATTTTAGATGAGATTGTGATTCTCTGGATAATATCCAACAGCCGACTTTGCACCTTGATGTTCCTCTCTTCTTCCAGAGGAATTCCAAAGCTTTGTTGGAAAGCTGCCAACGCATTATGCCGTAAACACATCTGTTGTGGAACACTTATGGAGGACAGATGCCAGCCTACTCCAGCGCTACAGGCAACTGGAGACCAGCAGCCAGCAGCTCTTCACCAAAGCTCAACGCACTGTCAACAAGCTCTTCAGACTTAGCAAAAGGTGCCGTCAACAGCCCAAAATCATCCTGCAGAGGCCGAGGTGAGATGCAAAACAGAAACAGGTGGAATTTTTAACCGGCAGGCTGGGAAAAGCATGTGCACAATGGTTGCTTTTACACAGTCAAGTATTTTGTGGCTCATTGAATCTTTTAGAATATGCGTGCTAATTTTGTCACATCCATCCCTGTTCATAGGAGCTGCAGAAAGGACTGAATCACTGGACATGTACAGGCGAGACCAGATACCACATATAGAGTACATAAACATCAGCGGTCAAAAACATTTGAATGCATTCCCGTGATTAATATCAGAGTCAAGATTTTTATTTGTCATATATGCGCAGTAAAAACTAAATGGTTTCATGGGAGCTGTGTGATGTGATGGTAGTGGACCCAAAAAAAAAAAAGTAGGGAGGCAGAAGAAGCAGGGTGTACCGAACAAACTATATTAACCAAAAAACACTTACAGTGAAACAGTGGAAAATTTAAATCCAAATAAAATCCCGAAAACGACAAGAAACCAAAGTAACTAACAAAGTCAAAAGTCAAAGTCAGCTTTATTGTCAAATATGCCCTATGTACAACATACAGCACAGATGAGATTTCCTTCCTCTCAACCGCAGTGCAAACGTGCAGTGCATTGAAAACACACACAGCTAGAAATAAGGGCAGCAAAACTGAATGGTATAAAAAAAAAAAAACCTCTATAAATATAAACAAATAAAAACAAGAAATAGCAATCAACAAACAACAGACAACCAAGGGCACTTGGCACCTGTAATTATTGTGATTATATAACAAACAAACGAACAAACATACAAACAAACAAACCCAAGACAGAAGGACAAAGCAACATGACAGCAACAGAAACAACCCCCCCCCCCCAAAAAAAAAAAAACATGACAGTAACACAACAACCCCAAGTGGTCAACGTGGCAGCCCTTTTAAATGAAAAGAACTAATGACGTGATGACCAATAGGTGCGATGACCTCCAATGCCACCTGTTGGTCACAAACGGAACCATAACACTCCTGTGAAATAAAATCCAAATCGAATCTTAACAAAAACATAATCACGACAAACGGTAGCACTGAGCAAAGAAATCCTGTACAAATGAATTTTAAAAAATAATGAAAGATAAATACGAAAGGAAATAAAAGGGAGCCTTACATGAACTAATTATGGGTAACATTTGTTTCTTTTGAAATAAGAGCTTTTTCTTGGAGGAGATAAAGTGATTTTTCATTTGTTGATTTTTAAAAATATACTTCTTGGAAGATCTTGTGTGATGCCTCTGTTGACTGTTTTCCTGGTATTGTGGTTATTTATCAGGTGTGAGTGTTCACAGTGTATTCCAGAAAATGTTGTTGCGCTTAAAACTAGCCTCTTCCCTACATTAAGTCATGATGGACCTTTCTGCGGATGGCATGGTTCTTTTATTTATTGACATACCACAAATGGTCAGTGAAAAACACATTAGCCAGGGGTCACTTTGACACCATCAGGCAGCTTTAAAGTGGCCTACCATGTAATTCCCCATTATTCCAGTTGATGACCTCACGACTTGTACTTGAGTACTTGGAATGTTTTCTGGTAGGAAATGGGCAAAAGAAAATTGGTGGTGGTTTTTGGAACCAGAAAGTGCAGCAAATCATACAAGGAAAGAGGTTAGCGAAGAAGAAATGGGACACTGAGGACTGAGGAGAGGAGACAAAATTACAAGGAGATGCGACAAAACGCAAAGGCGGACGTGGCAAAGGCAAAAACAAAACAAGGCAAAACAATGGGCACATGATGACATGCCCTTTCGAAAGAACGAGGACGATATGCAGAGTTGGGGAAACTCATTTCGAGTTGGAATCACGTTGATGAGCAACTCGCTGAAGTTATGGGAATGAGTAGTGGAAACTGGATTCTGACACATTCGAACTGAATGGCGATCGGATCAAACAAACGTAGACACAAACAAAATCCATGCAAAAATATTAATTTATTAGCAAAAGCGCATCGACAAAGTTTAAACTAAAATCGCTGGTTAAAAAAGAGCCAGGGAAAACAAAATACATTCCCAAAAAGCGCTTGCAAAGGCAAGGTAATAATCCAAGAATATGAACGAAATGAGTCCAATTTAACGAAACAAACACGAGAACAAGATCAGAAGACAAAATAATCTAAATACTTATCAGCGAGAGACGAGAGAGCAAAAAAATGACGAGATCGAGAGGTCTAGAAAAAAACACTTGAGCATGAGCAGCAAACATTGTCAATAATCCGACAGAGACCGGTCTCCTTAGGAAGTCCTTAAATACATGGGTAACGTGATGAACACGTTAGCAGCACGTGTGCATGCTGGAGGGAAAACCCTCCTCTGCCACCTGCTGGAGACGCACAAGAACAGGATCATGACAGACTTAGGACATCTGACAACTCCATCTGGACTGTCTGTCGCACATGCGGAATTTATCAGTCGACAAAACCGTTTTGAAAATTTGTCTTCATCAGCCCATCGCAAAACATTTGTCCTTGGAGGCTCCTGCATTGAGAGCTTCTTGGGACTTCAGAGACACCAAACGCTTCAAAAACCTGCTTGCTGCTCATCAATGACTTTTTTTTTTTTTTTTTGCATCTGCTATCACCTAAACGGCTTAATAAGACGTAAAAAAAAAAACTGCCTTAATTGGCCTGTATCGGAGGTTGATTGCTTTCTAAATCAAACTTTTTTCGTACAGTGATTTTCTTGATACCTGGTATTTTCGTTTCTTCTGTAATCAGCAGTAAAATCCTTTTCGCCTCACATAAAGCATACAACACCGTGTGACTTTTGTAAACATCTGGAGCTAAAGCCTTGAGTTGTTTTCCTTCAATTAGACTCATCCAGGAAAGTAATGAATGCATTTTGTCTGAGATTTACATCCTGGAGCCAAACAAAGGAGACGTAAACCTCCCCACAAAACTTATAACTCAAGTGTTTCGAACCTAAATCCTATTTGTATTATAATTTGGACCGGCGTAAACGGCACTGACGTGGAATGGGGAGACCTCTCTTCCTGCCAATATTCACTGTTTGAAAGTATTAGCAGAGCTTCAACGGACCAGGATGACGGCTGTGTAAATGGTGAATGCCGGAACAACGGATCAGGGTGGGAAGTTTGGTATCATTATAGTAAGTACACACTAATAAGCATTAGTTAAGCATTCGTAAATACTGAGTTAATTATTTATAAAGTGTGTTTCTGATAATCAGTAGCATATAGTTCGCAAAAACCGCTGTAAATGTTTTACTCATCATTAATACGTGTCTTAGTAAAGCATTAGTAAATACCGAGTTCATTTATACAGCATGTTTCTGACATTGACCATCATTAATAAGTGGGTAATAAACACAGATGCATATGTTTTACTCCTCCTTAATAATCCATAACGCGCTCCATGATTTGCATTTTTATACTTTATGAATGACAGATTCAAATCCGCTCGATTATGTATTGCATCGTTTACCAATCAGTTATTTCGGAATTGTCAACGACAAGGTCATTTAGATAGTGTACGCAAATGATGAACCAAACTATTTAGATGTGCCCGCATGCACTTACACATCAACTATTCAGACATGTACAAATGGTTAGCGAGTGTGTTAGCAGACGTGTTATAAAAACGCACACATTTTGTTTTCCAATAAATGTCTCATTAACGCTTGTTAACACATGAATCCATTATTTCGGGTAGTTACAAAGCCCCTTACCAAGTATTCGGCGTGAGCCCATCCAATGGGAGCACTATCTATAGCCTTATAAAGCATTTATAGATGAAATTTAAAGACTGACAAAGCCTCGAGACTCACAAAAATCTGTTATCTTCACAGACAAAGGAAAGACACAACACAAAGGGATACAGAACAGGATTGCATTCATATTTAGTTGATTTATTTATACATAAATAAGGCGGCCTGGTGAGCAAGTGGTTAGCGCATCGCCCTCACAGTGCAGAGGTACCGGGTTCGATTCCAGCTCCAGCCTTCCTGTGTGGAGTTTCCATGTTTTCGCCATGCCTGTGTGGGTTTTCTCTGGGTACTCCGGTTTCATCCCACATTCCAAAGCATGCATGGCAGGTTGATTGACCACTCTAAATTGTCCCGAGGTTTGATTCTGAGCATGGATGGTTGTTCGTCTCTATGTGGATGCGATTGGCTGGCAACCAGTTCAGGGTGTCCCCCGCCTACTGCCCGA